CACTGTTTTTAAGGGAAGGATCCCTAGGAGGTATATTAATGCTCATAACTTTTCCAGGAGAAAGAGCGCTCGCTGGACAGTGTCCGGAGTGGTTGCCACTCAAGCCTCCGCCAGCCTTGCTCCAACGCGTGGTCCGGAAGGGGAGGCGAACACAGGGCATGAGCCGGATGCTCCTCCAACGGAGGATGCCGATAGGCTGTCCGCCACCCGTTCTGAGGTGGAGAGCGCCATGAATCACAGGCGTCGCCGGACAGTTCTTCGTGACGCATGCTTCTCCCCGGAGGCGTTGAATGCCTTTGATGCGGGAGATGCGCACCTCCGTGCCGCTCAAGATGGTTTAACCAGAGCCACGGAGCAGTATGTGAAGGACATACGGGCAAGTAATTTTAATAGTTATATATGCCAGTAGCCCCCGAGACTTAAAATAGTTAAAATAACTGATTTAAGGATCATTTATTATGCAGGATCTTATGGAGAAGAATACCCACCTGTCCCAGGAACTTCAAGATTTCAAGGCCCAACTTGAGGTCGCACTGGCCGCCACAGGGGGAGCCACAGAGACCCCCACTGGTAATACGTACTTCGAAAAGATGAGTACTTAACAAAGTGCGGTGTGTGTGTAAATCTGACAATAATATTGCAGAGGGCGCGGGACTAGATCCGGACAAGCAACAGCTACTGCGCCAGTTGAAGGCCGGCGAGAGGGTGCTTATGAAGGTGCAGCAGGAGAGGAACAAACTCCAAGATGCCCACACCCATCTTGGAGAAGAGCTAAAAGGTGTTCGGGCCCAGCTCTCTAGCTCCTTGAAGGAGAATCAGTGGCTTCGTCGCGGCATCTATAGTAAGTGCTTGAGCAAACTCTTTTGAAAAGAAGAGTTCGGCGAGGAAGTCGGTTGACAGAAATATGTCTGTAGGTGTGCTCACAGGTCGCCCTATGTAGGAAATGCCCGGTTCAACGGGTGACCAACTTCCCGAGCTGGTGCAACTGCTTGAACGTGTTCGGCAGGCAATGAGTGGCGTCGTTCAGGCCTTATGGCCTTCCGTCTCCCTACCTGAGGGCCATGGACGGCTTGCTGAGAAGCTTCAGGGAGTACGACGACGTCTCCGTCTGTGGAAGATATCGGCCTGCCGTCAAGGTGCCAGGAAGGACTGGGCCATGGTGAAGACGCGGTACCCGAAGGCTGACCTAAAACCACATGGCCGAGGTCGGACCTGCGGGGCCTGATGGGAAGGAGATTCCTGTGAGCTTGATGTACGGCCAAGTAGAGCTGGCCGCGAAATATTCCCAACAGGACTGTAAATTAGACAGCATGTTAGATAGGATTGAAGAGGAGTACAGTCAGTCAGTTTGACGATGTAATTTAAAAATGACATGTAAAATGCCTTCTAGCCGGATTGTAGATTGTTTGTCTTTGCGGACCTTTTCGCTTCAACCTCGGGACCCAACAGTCTGGAGTGTGTCCGAATACCCTTACGGTTATAATAGAACCGGGGCATGCATGGAGACAAGGCGTAGGGGTCATAATTGCTTTATCAGACAAGTGCCCAACTAGCTATGTTATATTACATGGTTAGTAAGAAACATCTTCCAGGGAGAATAGTTCCGTTAAGGGTTCCTTTCCCTGGGAGGCATGCCCTAAAGTGCATGTCCGGACTGCGAAAATAGCAGAAAAAGCATCTGGGGGCAGATAAATAATTAAGTAATAAATCATCTTTCAGGTCACCGACCGAATATTCCCTTAAGAACGTTAGCCTTCGGCTTCACCCAGTCTGAGGTACACATCCGGCTGACCGGCGCTCGCAATGTGCAGCTATCCAACGGGCGATGGGGCCATATCCCTGCGTGCTTAGGATTTAGACCGGCGTGCTGACCTCTCTGTTGTGCCTAGGTAGGGCTGCGACGTGTTGATCTTCCGAGGCCGAGCATGACCAAGGAAAGTGTGTCCGGACAGAGGGATCGAGTGTATTGGGTAATGTGGTGCACCCTTGCAGGGAAGTTTATCTATTTGAATAGCCGTGTCCCTCAGTAAAAGGATGACCCGGAGTTGTACCTCGACCTTATGACAACTAAAACCGGATACTTAGTAAAACACACCCTTTCAAGTGCCAGATACAACCGGGTGATTGCTCTCTCACAGGGCGACGAGGAGAAGATCGCCTGGTAGGTTTATGCTATACGATGAAACTTGGTGAACTTACTAGCTACTGTCTTCTATATGCTTCAAGATGGAGGCTGCCAGAAGCGTAGTCTTCGATAGGACTAGCTACCCCCTCTTATTCTGGCATTCTGCAGTTCAGTCCACAAATACTACCCATTTCATTGATACCAATGCATATGTAGTGTAGATCCTTGCTTGCGAGTACTTTGGATGAGTACTCACGGTTGCTTTGCTCCCCCTTTTCCCCTTTCTATACCCAGTTGTTGCGACCAGATGTTCGAGTTCCGGAGCCAGACGCCACCGACGACGACTCCTACTACACCGAAGGTGCCTACTACTACGTGCAGGCCGCCGCCGATGACCAAGAGTAGTTTAGGAGGATCCCAGGCAGGAGGCCTTTGCCTCTTTCGATATGTATCCCAGTTTGTGCTAGCCATCTTATGGCAACTTGTTTAACTTATGTCGGTACTCAAATATTGTTTCTTTCGCTGACTCGTCTATAATCGAGCACTTGTATTCGAGCCCTCTAGGCCCCTGGCTTGTATTATGATGCTTGTATGGCTTTTTCTTAGAGTTGTGTTGTGATATCTTCCCGTGAGTCCCTGATCTTGATTGTACACGTTTACGTGTATGATTAGTATATGATTGAATCGGGGGCATCACAGTCACGGTGGTGAAGATGAAGTGGAGGAGGTAGATGAGGGGGCTTATGACAAAGTGCAAGCAAAAAAAAGTGTGAGGCCGAAGAACTACACGATCTTGGAAGATCAAATCATGATCAAGGCTTGGAGTGTGGTCTCTCTTGATGCTTGCACGGGTACATCTCAAACCTCTAAGAGATATTGTTAAATAATCAAAGATCAATACTTCCGTATGATGGCCAAGCATCCCAGTGGGACACCACGGACATTTCGGTCGCTCCAAGGGATTTCGGACATGATAGAGCCGATTTGCAGCCGGGCAGCTTGCTTGGAACAAGTGTGCAATGCACCTCCAAGTGGAACCGTGGAATCCGACTATGTGAGTTCATTTTCACGTCCGAAGTTGTGCACATCATTTTTGCACATCATATGAAATGATTGCATCATTTGACTTTGTTTAAATTGTGTAGGATAAAATTGCCCAACAAAGATACAAAGACATGGAAGCTTCTGAAGGCAAAAAAATTAAGCTAGAGCATTGTTGGGATATGCTCAAAGAGTGCGAGAAGTGGAAGTTGATTGACAAGGAATCCCCATCGAAGAGAGGTGCACTTACGAACATGGATGAAGATGAGGATGATGATGGCCCAAGAAACTTGAACAAGCCCGATGGTGACAAGAAGACAAAGGAGAAGATCAAGAGGGAACATGAAGCATCGAGCTTGCGGGACAAGATAGATGCCATGGTCCATTCAAATGAGTTGATGTTAGCGAAGAGATTGGAGGCAAAGAAAGAGTTGGCCAAGAAAAGGCACGGGAGAAGCAAGAGAAGTGGCAATTGCTCAAGGACTAGGGGTTGCTTTTATTTGCGCGCGAACTATTTTTTATCGTTTGAATTTGAACTCATTTGTCGCAATCGTTGTCAAATTCACTTATTGAGGGTTTTCGGTTTGCGGGTCGACACGGCGGTGCCCGAGCAAATCCCGGCTAGTAAGTGACGGAGCGCTCGGGTTTAGTTAGGCAAGGGAACGATCAATCATGTTTAGTAAGTGACGGTCTCAAAGAGGTCGCACCCACGCGCGTATATACGAGAGAAACACGCAACCCACCACAGTATCGCTCGGGCCTGACCACCCACCGTATACTGAGAAAATCCCTGAAAAATTCTTGCCCTCACTTCTACCATGATTTTTTAAATCGTGGACGGCCCAGAGAACGTCATGTCGGTGCGCCTCCAGTCTGCCCAGGACGAAAAGTCAGCCTTTTGTTATATAACTATGTACCTACCATATCCATGATTATACGTGTTTTTTGTCACAATTACTGTCGTAGAAGTGCCACTTCCACGACATAAAATATTTTTGTTCAAGCAATAATGTCACGGACGTGCCTTTTGTTTTTGCAATGTACTCACCTGGCTTATCATGCCAGATGCAGGAGAGGCCATAGACGAATGCCCCAAGATTTTTGAGTACGAGAATTACGAGGTGTCCCAGCACTGTCCCATTGGATTGGAGTCCCGCCGTATTCATGCCTTTCGCTGTGTCACTCTCCTTTCGTCACTAGTATTTCAAGTTGAGACGTTCGTAGAATAATGTATTTTAGGGTAGCAGCACTTCGTAGAATAATGTATTTTAGGGTAGCTGCATTAATTGTGTTACCTTGCTTTATTGTAACCTAAGATTTTGTACCCTTAGTACGTCTATGAAATCGTGGTTTATTTTGTATCAAACTTGTATTGTGTTCTATTTTGCATTGATCCCTGGGCTCGAACATGATGCCTCCGGTTCGCAGAATCGGGGTGCCACAATTGCGGATGTATGTAGAGATGATGCCATACCGATTGCTAAAAAATCTAGAAACAAGATAGTGTAAATAGAAATGAATGAGTTAATTAATTAACTTTTTGTCCCACCTTTGAAATTTGGTGGCTATAATTTGAAAATAGGCAAAATATACGTGGCAGTTTAACATGGTAATCATTTACTTATTAGTGAAATACTAAATTTGGAAGTATATATCCCGATAACTAATGGATACCTAGAAATAGCCTTAATTATTCTCTAAATATTGTTTTTATGTGTGTTTCGATAGTGTGTGTATAAATAGATGTGGTGCTAGGACATACCAACCATCTTCCTTTGTGTTTCTGTCGTGAGGAACCCTAAAAAAGCAGCTCCCTCTGTGTTGTGCTAACTAGATGGAAAAGTACATGAACTCCTTCCCAGCAGGGACCATACTCTGTGTGCTTCTCTTGTACTCTACGATCCATACACATTGTAAGTTCCTACGGACACATGACTTATATATTATTTATTTTGTACTTTTTTTGTGATAAGAAGATAGTGCGTATGTTGTGTATAATCTATCTCATCAACAAGTTCTTATGGACTCCTAACTAATAGTTATTTTTTCCTATGATTTTGGTGGTTTATCTTTAGCTCATTGAATAATATATTATTAAGATATTAATGAATGTCTTTTATATGTAGGCCAAATCATGGAACGCCAAGAGAACATGAAGATCCATTTACCAACTGGATTATGCGTCTATAGAAAAGGAACTTCACTATGCAAAGAGAAGTCATTTTGTTTCTGTTGTTTAGTGAACCGCAAGTGCTATCTTGCGATGGATGTTTGCAAGAGTGTATGTGGAAAGCATGGTCCATTGGGTATTCAGGCTTCAAAGAAACATTTTTTACCACCCTCCCATGTAATATACGGATGATTAGTATTTTGTACCTCAGTCTATCGCTATAGTCACTGGTATTCACCATCACATGGTGTTTGCCCTTCATGAATAAAATATTGCTTTCATTTATTGCATGATGTAGCAGAGTATTAGTCCTTGTTTTTACTAAGGGAGTTTGGCATTGCATCCTTGTGATACGAATTAATATTTACTATGATGAAAATGAGGAGAATTAGTAAGAGGAAGATGCATTGTACAAAACATTCTACTTTGAAGTTAAAAATAACATGTAACGTAGTGTGCTATGGCAGTCACACAAGGGACCCACAAGGGGGCATGGTGTGCTTACCCCCTTGGGTGTGCCGTGTTGCCTTGCACGTCTCTTCGCCTGGCTTCTAACCTCCCCCGAAGCTTCCTAGGTCTCTTTTGGTCTAGAAAAATATTATCAAAAAGTTTCGTCATTTTGAAATCCGTTTGGTATTGATTTTTTATAAAACCAAAATATGAAGAAAACAACAACTGACACTTGGCATTGTGTTAATAGGTTAGTTCCTAAAAATGACCTATAAAGATGTATAGAATATAGAGGATTGTCAATATAATAGCATGAAACACTAAAACTTTATAGATGCATCAAAAACGTATCATTGTCCAGAAAAGAACAAACAAAAGGGAGAATACTCATCAATACCTTGTGAATACCAAAATCCATTGGTTACTCGGGCATTGGATACTCTTTTGGCAGCTGCCAATAAGGCTTGGCAAGGTAGTGGAGTAGCCGGGTGGGCTGTGAGTCCGTGAAGCCAGGTTGCTCATACCCGAGCACTTTTCTTTTCTTCTCTTTGTCGTTTTCCTTCTGATCTTTCATTAATTTGTTTGTCTGTTTATGTGTCACACTGTTTTCTATTCTACTCAGACTTGATGTGGTTCTCTTGGTTGTCCCTATTTACTCCGTCCGTTTCAAAATAGATGACTCAACTTTGTACTAACCTTAGTACAAAGTTGAGGCATCTATTTTGGAACGGAGGGAGTATGACTCATTTTCTTGGTCAGTGTGGGCCCTTGTTAGCTAAATGGCGCCTATCGTGCATCCTTGATGCGGTCAATATCACCCTGAATTTCGCACCTAAAAAATTTCTTTCGCGAGTTTTGGCCTTTGTCTTTTTTTGGTGTTCTTGGATCATGTCTGGATCTTGTGTATATGTGATGATTATTGGCATGCCTTGTGCCTCAAGCCTAGATGTACTGCTACCAAAGTTAGTCTTGCCCCCACAAAAAAAATTGTTATAATTTTTTCACTAGAACCTAACTCCATTTATCATGGAATTGAAGCCTAGAGCCGACCATTACAAAGGAACATGATGACCCACAAGTATAGACGATCAATCATAGTACTTTAGATAAGTAAGAGTGTCGAACTCAATGAAGAGTAAAAGAAATTGATAGGCAATTTCAGGAGGGATTTCATTGCAAGTGTTATAAGATAGTTTGGTAGCAAGATAATTTATAACAAGGTACCAAGTAACAAGATAACAAGGTGCAAAAAAGTGGCCCAATCATTAATTGTGATAAGGATAAGCCAGTGGTACTTCCTATAGTAATTAAAACGCTCCCAAGGACACACGGGAATATCACCAAGTTACTTTCACCACAATTCATTGACTTAGTTTCATTGCCTTGATAAGTATTATGTGGGTGGACTGGAACTAAGGCAGTGTCCTAAATTGAAAAAGTACCTACTTATGATTATATTCTCCATGCAAGCATCTGGTACTTGTGAGCTTTGTTGGATTTATTCCCCGAAGAGGAAGGAAGATGCACTACATTAGAGATAAGTAATTCCCTCAATTAAGAACCACTAGTCATCAACTCGTGCATCTGCACGGGCTAGCACTTTGAATATTATATGTGACAAGTTTGTATGAATTAGAAATGTTTGGCAATATAGTTTCAAATTCAAAGTTGTTGCATGTATCATGTATTGGTGACATATAAGTTAAAAACTCGTATAAGATCAATGCCCTATTGTAGCATTTATCTTCCTTTCTTTCCCCTACCTAAAAACATATATTTTCCCTTTTGCCATGGGAGCACAATAGAATTTGATCTTAAGACCCTTCACGTATTAATTTCACCATGTTTTGTTTCATTATAAAAGAATTTGTATCTATACACAACAATATATAAATTCTAGTCTTAACCAATAAATTCTTTCATAATTTATTTTGTGATTTTCTAATACCATAAGGGCCATAGATATTCAGATTGTATGTATTTTAATCAATAAATTGTTACAATATTTCTTTTGTGATTAAGTGTTTGGGAACTATGTGATAAATTATCCGGATTTAGGTTATTCGTACCAAAAAACTAAGTCAAGATTATTTTGCTGGTTGATTAAAGGATTTCTTTTATGATTGTGCTTAATTTTTTAATACTATCTATCCTTAGTACACACACATACATAATCATGTGTTTATATGATACCTTTGTGACTTAACCTTGCACGACGCCACTATCTTGCCCCAGGCAACATCAGATGCAGCTAGCGCCCGGCGGCGTACAACTGGAGCTATTTGACCCGGTCGTTACACGCTGTTCCTTCATGAAAATGAGTCGCTCCATTCTGAGTGGAAAACACGCTCATCCACAGGCTGACCAATTAGTTAGTTAAGCAGATCGGCTTTCTGTTGCAGAAGAACCCTTGCGAAATAGTAGTGAGCACAGAAGTACAATTTTGGATTGGATTCAAATTTGTCAAAAAAAAAAACTTGTGGATATGCAGGATAGATCTCAATTTTCTTAGGTTAAATGGATGATCTTTGCTATATTCAATATCATTGACACATTTAATATCTAAAATGCTGCCTGCTGACTTTGTTGTGTACGACACCGATCAAATGTTGTTTGCTTATACATGCTATACGGGAACAGGATCTGATGTACGTATACTACTCAATCTTGGGACATTGATTCCGTTTCGAAAAATATATTCTTGGGACATTGATCGGCTGCTGTTAGAAGGGAGAGAGAGGATTAGTGGAATAGTTCGTTGTATTGCTTGAGCCTCGTGGGCATATATATAGAGTACATAATCATCTTGGAGTACAAGTCAAGGTAGAATAATATCATATGCTATCCTAGCTTTTCTAATAATCTCGATACTCAACATCCCCCCGCAGTCGGAATGGTAGCGATGCAGACGGTGAGACTTGAGAAGAATCCAAAGGTAAGCCGACGGACACCCCCCATAGTCGTAACGGTCGACGCGTCGCGGAAGCCGTGGCTGGAGTGGAAACCGACGAGGTTGCTCAAGCAAGGCGGTAGTCCTTTGTGCCGTTTGTTGAGGTAGTCGAGAGCATAGGTGGTGTAGCTGTAATCGAGGTAGCCGTGCAAAGAACACCGTGGTCGGTGTCGAGTCGAGGGTCGCCGTTGTGGAGGTAGTTGCCGTGGAGCCGCAGAAGAAGAGCAGCGGCGGCGGTGGCTAGAGAAGGAGTGCGGCGGCGGTGCTCGCAGTAGGCGAAAATGAACCCGACAACGTGACAAAGACCGGCGCAGACGGTGATGTTCCTGTGCCAAGGGAGGCGGCGCGGCACATATCACGTGCAAGTCAACACGCGTGGACGGCGGTGGACCGTGGGCCGCAGCGTTACGGCACGAAGGGGCGACGCAACGGCGGCGCGGGGGTTGGTGCGCCTGTTGACCGCGGGCCGTGGCACTACGACCCGAAGGGGCGACGCAGCGGCAGTGCGCGATGTGGTGCAACCACGGGAACAGACTCTGGGCGGCGGCGGGGACCACGTGCCGCGACGCTGCGGCCCGAAGGTGCGACGCAACAGCGACACAGATCGGTGCAGCCACGGGGAGAACCACGGGGCGGCGGCGCTGTGGACCGATGGGGCGACGTAGTGATACGTCTTCGTCGTATCTACTTTTCCAAACATTTTTCCCTTGTTTTAGACTCTAACTTTCATGATTTGAATGGAACTAACCCGGACTGACGTTGTTTTCAGCAGAATTGCCATGGTGTTTTTTGTGTGCAGAAATAGAAGTTCTCGGAATGACCTGAAACTTCACGGAGAATATTTTTGGAATTAAAAAAAATACTGGCGAAAGAATCAAAGCCAGGGGCCCACACCCTGTCCATGATGGTGGGGGGCGCGCCTACCCCCCCTGGGCGCGCCCCCTGGTGCTGAAGGAAATATGCCCAAGAGGCAATAATAATGTTATTATTTTTTTCCTTATTTCATGATAAATGTTTATTATTCATGCTAGAATTGTATTAACCGGAAACATAATACATGTGTGAATACATAGACAAACAGAGTGTCACTGGTATGCCTCTACTTGACTAGCTCGTTGATCAAAGATGGTTATGTTTCCTGGCCATAGACATGAGTTGTCATTTGACAAACGGGATCACATCATTAGGAGAATGATGTGATTGACTTGACCCATTCCGTTAGCTTACCACTTGATCATTTTAGATTACTGCTATTGCTTTTTTCATGACTTACACATGTTCCTATGACTATGAGATTATGCAACTCCCGATTACCGGAGGAACACTTTGTGTGCTACCAAACGTCACAACGTAACTGGGTGATTATAAAGGTGCTCTACAGGTGTCTCCGATGGTACTTGTTGAGTTTGCATAGATCGAGATTAGGATTTGTCTCTCCGGTTATCGGAGAGGTATCTCTGGGCCCTCTTGGTAATGCACATCACTATAAGCCTTGCAAGCAATGCCACTAATGAGTTAGTTGTAGGATGATGCATTACAGAACGAGTAAAGAGACTTGATGGTAATGAGATTGAGCTAGGTATTGAGATACCGACGATCAAATCTCGGGCAAGCACTACAAAAAAAATACACATCCATGACATTTTGGGCCGAATGAATTTTTTTTCTGTCATACTTATGACACTTCTATGACGATAATTGTGACAAAACCCGGTATCATCGTAGATATGGTGGGGTCCAACTTCTATGACAAAAAATCATGACAGAAAATGGGCTTTTCGTCCAGGGCGGG